TATTTTGGTGGCATGGTTGGGTTGGCTCATTCTGTTGGGGTTTCCTATGGCTAAGTCCTTTCCTGACAGCCTCAAGGTATGTTAGTGACTAGTTCAGTTTGGCTAAGGGGAAGGTTTGGGCCAGGTAAGGATCAAAATGGTGTTTTGGATTGTTAAGGTGTAGGTTCCCATGCATTTTTCCCCAAGGGTGACTCACAGGGCTACTACGGGAATTAGCCTGAGGGATTATGTGAATGTGGTCCCTAGATGGCTTGGGTGGCATTCTTTCTCCCCAGTGGTTGTGGTAGTAGATGTGGGCAAGGTTTGACACGGCCTTGGGTCTTCTGTTGGGCTCATCAATTGCAGGCGCTTGCGGCTTCTACTGCGAAGTCGACTTCYGCTGATGTGGTTGGTGTTGAAGCTGATGCTGATGCTGATGTTGGTGCTGACTTGGGCGTTGGCATTGAAGTTGGCGCTGGAAATGGAACTATTTTGGGGGAGACTTCTTCCTGGTGACAACTTCCCAACCAGTTCCAGTGTCGATGTGAGATGCTTGACAGGGGTTCTTCCTTGTTGACGCGGCGCTGGCTTCATGGTTGCTGGTTTCTTGGTACAACTGCAAGGCTGAAAGCTGCTTCCCAAGTATCTGCAAGGCTAATGAGACAGGAACCATGCAAGGGGAGTGTTCACCCAAAATAAGTAAGTTGCTAATGTGTGGCATAAGTGCTGCTTCCACCTGCGTGAGGAACTCCACTCCAAGAACAACCTAAAAATCATCCAAGGGCACCACATATAGATTGATGGGTCATTTCCATGGTTCAACTTGGAGTTCTACTCCACGAGCCATGCCCTCTACTACTTTGGCCCCTGAGTTGACATCCTTGACCCACCCAGTTTGTTTGGTGGTGGTCAAGCCGAGTCGGTTTGCCTCTGAAAGCGAAATGAAGTTGTGGGTGGCCCCAGTGTCCACCAAGGCTTGGGTCGGCCTCTCGCCGATGGTGATGTCTACATAACTCAGCCCCTTGTGGGCCTTGGTAGGCCGCTTGGATGTGTCATCTTTCTTAACCATGGCATTGATAAGCTGAAGGGCGCCTACTCTTGGCGTCGCTATGGTTTTCTCCTCATCACTCTCTTCATCATCACTGAGTTTGGCGATGAGGGCATTAACCTTCTTCCGCACAAGACAGTCGCTAGTCCAGTGCTTTTCGTTGCAAAAGTAACAAGGAGAGGAAGGAGTGGTTGGTCTCCTGGTATACCGGTGGCCCTGGTAGCTTTGGGCGCCTGCACTGGCTTCTCCTTTTTTGAGGTTGATTGTTGATCTCCCCCACTCAAACTCATGGTACCTGGGCTGGATGGTCTTTGCACATCTTCTTTAGGTGTTCTCAGATCAACAAGCTGTTCAGCTATGGCCATGGCGGTGGCGAGGTCCTCAATCCCGTGTCGCTGGAGTTCGAGCTCGGCCCATGGCTTGAGACCGTCCATGAAATTGAACAGGAGATCCTTGTCTGACATGTCAGAGATCTCCAGCGTCAAGGCCGAAAACTCCTTGACATAGTCATATAGTGATTCTTGATGTCTGAGATTCTTCATTCTTCGACGCGCCATGTACTCCACATTTTCTGGGTAGAACTGACGCTTGATCTCACGCTTGAATCCAACCCAGGTGTCGATGGTGCAAGTTCCACGTTCAATGTCTTGGCAACACCTACGCCACCATAACTTTGCGATATTAGTCAAATACATAGCAGTTGTACGTACCTGAGTTTGGTTGTCAACGATGCCCATGGTGGAGAAATATTGCTCCAGTTGCCACAAGAAGTTGTCAAGCTCCCTAGCATCCCGAACATTCGAGTAAGGTGTTGGCTCACGGATCTTGATGTTCATGGAAGCTAGGGTGGAGGGAGTGCTAGGTGCGTTGGCCACTGCCCTCTTTAGGAGAGTCATCTCATCTCTCATCTCATCCAATTGCGCTTGAAATCTGTCTAGCAAGCCCTGTAGGCTACTTTGGGAAGGCCCTGCTCCCAAATTTTGTATGGTGGTGTGCATGTCTCTGAAGGCGCCATTGAAACGTCCTTCTAGTTCCACCACTGCATTCTCAACCGTCTCTAGGTTGAGGTGGAGTTCATCGACCCAATCTCGGGTTTCTCCCACTGTTGCCTCGCAACGTAGGAGGCGCATGTCTATGCTAGCTAGTTGGTCGATTGATTTGTCGCGCTTGCTAGCTTTAGTTGTGCGGCCCTTTGGGGCTTGTGTCTTGGTAGGTTCGTCAAGTGGAGCTTCATCAGTGTTGTGGGCTTGGAGTCGCCCATGTGGTGTGCCATCGGCAATGCCACGGTTGCTCTTCATTGTGTTGACGTAGGGACGAAGACAGGGTCCAAAGTGTGTGTAGGAGCTCCTGCTTTGATACCAACTGTCACGGGGCTAGTCGTTGGGACCTCGTGTGGCACTCGAATGCGGCGAGTAAGCCTAAGCGACAAGCAACAACACAAGAAAATGCAACAAAGATGGCATACGAATTAGATAAAAGACAAATTGTATTGCATTAATGGATGGCAAGCATAAGCATACAGTTCAGTGTCGAGGGGATCTCATGCTTAACCTTTACATGCTCATAACTCACTCGACTACCTACCTCCCCTCAAAGAGTACATTAAGCTTTTGGGGGAGTGACAATAGGAAACATCAAAATGATGAAAAATTATACTATGTAATTACAATAACGCCATTGACGGTCCCCCCTTACAAAATACATGCATAGCCCACCCATGACACACATGTTGACACCATGAAGGCACGGGGTTGGCACTCTGATGAGACATAGTAGGTGCTTGATGGCGTGGTGAAGGAGTCACTTATGACAAGTGTGTTGTTCCCGCTAGATGAGCAGCAATCGAAACCTGAAAACGAAAACAGCAAAAACAAAAACAGCCTCCAAGACTTCTGTAAAAGCAAGGAGAGGTTCGTGTTTTCATCCTTCTAATTAGTTTTGTCTTTCATCCGTCATTGCATCTACAATAGTTTAGGAAGCAACAAACCAAAATGTGACACTCTACGATAGGAATCCGAACGTTTATTATTGAGGTGTTAAGTCCAGTTGCCGGAATCCATGTAGTATTGGGTGTTGGGACTTGTCGTCGTCACTCATGGTGATTATGTCGTTCAGTAGTTCCAGCAACCGCCGTTGTTGGCAATGAATGCGCCGATGGATGGCGCTCCCTCCCTCTTTCAACTGATGGGGCGAGTATTTGAGTAAAGTTATAATGAAAGACACAAATGTAATTTGTAAAAGGGTAAAACAGACATTTGATTTTTTTCGTCCATACTTGATAATTCAGTGGAGATTTAGATAATTGTTAGAAACAATGGAATAATGACAGTTAAGGGTACACTTAATCAATTAGCTAAACCATCAGAATAGTTTAAGAAATTTATCTAATTAAGTTTTGAATATTATACTGTTCATCTTTCATGAGTTCAAACTGTTTAAATGAAACTAAGAAAGTTCTTCCCCAAAGAATCCAATTTTCTTCGAAGCAAAATCACAGAAATTGCTTTTCTAATTAACTCCAGCTCTAGTTGCTTTTGCATAAAAGCAGTCGGCCTTCCAGCCTCTAGATTGAGACATTACTGTTCCTGAAGATGTAACCAAACCCAGCCACTAGACTCCTTCCTCCGGGCAGCATCTGAGTTTAATTTCAACCAGACTCTATGTCTAGCAGTCTAGTCTAGACCCACTTCAGCTCTATACTAGCAAGTAGCAACTCATTCAAGCATGAACAAGTCTACATCCACCCATTCCCTCCATTGCAACATTATCTTCACCCCTAAAGCAGTAGAACCCTACCGGGGCAGATGTTCCAATAAGCAAAACATCTCAACTTCTAAAGGCCATGGATCCCGCAGCCCAGGCTGTTCTTTACAAACAGCCAAAGTTTTTCCGCTTTTCAAGATGGCTGTCGTTAAAATGCAAGAAATCTGTCGTTAAAATCTCTCTCTAGTTTACCTTTCTATTAAAAAATCAAAATTGAAGCCAAGTTCGTGCCTTCACGTGCTTCTCTACTCTAACTGTCCATCCAACTGGATCGGGGGTTGCTCCATCCTAATTTAACTTCTAACTATTTTTTTTTACATATATACTAAACGTGGAATACACGAATTGCGATGCTAGCTTTAGGTATAACCGACTTGATTTGGCCTTAGCACCGTGGTTCGTACAATAATAATAATACGCTCTAATCCACTAATCAATTAGCTGTGATAGTCCCGTCGTGGTGGTCCAAGTCCAACTTGGGTAGATTCCTGAAACAAAGACATCTCCGCGTGCTAACATAACACTAACACGGCTCTCTAACTAATGATTCCCATGATGCAAATCTCCCGGCTGCCGAAATTTTGACTTGGTTGAATTTGGTTTTCAGGACCGTCGGATCATGGCATCATCCTGTCGTCATATGCAGATGGGTCAGCCATCAGTGTTTCTAATTTTCCATTGGATTGACACAACCAATCAATCATGTAAACATTTACATTGCATTTGGAATCGGTGTAAATTAATAATGATGTAAACATTTACAATCCGCGTCCGATTCAGTTTTACATGCGTTTGAATGAAATAGAGTTTTATACTGTGAATCAATATAAAATTTTATGTCAAGAATCAGTTTAAAACTTCAAATGTAAAATTTTACATTAATTATTTACATTAATAAAATCAATGTAAAACTTAACACCGATCGCGTCACACTTTTAAAAAAGTACAATAATCACTACTCACAGTTCAGTGTAAAACGTTATCGATGTACTTTTACACCAATAGCGTTTTACACCAATTCCGAATCGTGATTCATCATTACTCGTAGAATCATGAATCATGAGTAAGCTCATTGGGATTTATTTCGTTGAATAAATAGCATGGACACAGCCCTCTATTATAGTTTTTGTAAAATAATATAATGAGGTATTTGGTCTATGAATGTGATGTGAATAATACGGATTAATTAATTCGTTTATAAATTCATCAATTGACTCAAAAGAGAAATTCCATTACAATCATCATTATCATTCATCAATTGACAAAACTACAAAAGAGCAAAGACCAGCCCCTCCCGTTTTCTTCTCCTAGAAAAGAAAAAAAAAACAAAAAAAAAACAAAAAAGAAAAAAGAGGATGAAACATGTCATCAGAGAGTTACAAGTTTACATCTATCAATGAAGATCATTTTCTTCCTTCTCTTTTAACAAAGTTTCTTCTCCCTCATTCTCTTCTTAACAAATTTTCTTCAAAGAATCAGATCAAATTGAATGGAAATAATCGAACAGGAAAGCGCCAGTGTTCTGGGCGTCCGATGAATTCCGTTAGCATGCTCTTATTCCGTCGTCATTTACAAATGCCAAACCTCTCCTCCTGGGAAAGGAGAATCTGGCCAAGAATCGTGGTGAGTGTGAGAATATTACATGAATTTCTTCCCTGTTATTTTTTTGGTTTGTTTTTTTCTTGTTCATCGTCGTCATCATCATCACTTTTTACAGAATAATACTAATAACAGTAAGAGTCAGAGGTCAATGTGTCCCATTCCTTTTTTCGCCCTCTCTTTTCCGTGAATGAATGCCTAGACGAGAAGGCACGTCTCTGGCTGCTGCTTGACCTGTTGCTTGGCCTGCTGTTGAGACCAGTAAGCATGTGCAGAGAGGACGCGGTCCAAGAGGTCCTGGGGAACGGGCTCTCCTCTTCTTTGCTGAGGAGAGATTCTTGCCGTGTGCACCAATGTTTTCCATTTATCCTGCACAATCCACCATATAAGCACAGGACTATCATCATGTACTCCCTCAGATACCAATATTTTTAGGTTAGTAAAGTAACTAGACAACCTAGGCTTTCACTTTTCCGCAATCCTGCCCCGGTATTAAAAGCAATTAGAAGATACACTAATTTTACAGCAGTAGCAGTAGTAGTATTAATATCATTTACCTGAATATAAATATAACAGCATTTGATATGTGTCATGAGAAAGGATTGTAATTATGAAAGGCAGAAAGGAAAAGAGATCAGTCATGACGATAATATTAGCTAAGCATCACCCATCATCATCTAAGCCTTGCCATTCTGCTCTATTTAGTCTCATTAGCATAATATAGTAAGTTCCTTTACTCCACCTAAGAACCATCATCTAGTTACTTACTTTGCCACTATTATCTAGTTACTTTCATTTACTTTTGTCAATTGTTACAGCAGCCGTTACAGCCATTGCAGTAAATGATGGCTAGCACCAACACGGTTCTCCTTTTTAGTAACTAATTAGTCCCTTCCCTCCATAATGGGACGTAGTTACAAGCCTAGGAGCATTCAATTAAAACTTTGCTATTCTTTATAATGTGAATTTTTATTCATCATTGCTTCAGTTATGATTTAGAATTTATCTGGGCCCATTAATACTTGCAAGTTCCAAATCAACTGATGTGTAATTTTCAATAGTAAAAGAGAAAATAGCAAACAAATTGTTTACCTTCAAGTCAACATAAGTCCGATGCTTGGCATTATCAAAAGCACGTAATTTAACATCACGCCACCTACAGATTTAATGTCAGTACATACAAGTTCGCCTAATTGAAACTCCAAGAGAAAAAAGTAAAGAAGTCTTCATTGACAGTTAAATCATAGTTGTTACCATATTGCATACCTTCCAGTCCCAAGTTTCTCAACTGCTTGAACAAGTGCTTCCACTTCTGCAACAGAGAAGGGCCTCCTGATTCGGCGCTGAACAAGTTCAGATCTCCTAGATTTCCGGTTATAAGGGACCACAGCCAAAGCCTCAACACTCATTGCTGGAATAGCAACTAAAGCTCTAGAATCTGGTGTTGTTTTATCCGTTGACATGTCAATAGGAGAAGGAACAGAATCATGATCACTTTCAACACAGTTCGCTAAACTAGCCATTGGAGGATCAGGGGAGGCCTCAGAAGCCCCTGGGTCTAAAGCAGCCGGGGTTGGATACCTGGAATGCCACAAAATCAAGGAGCAAAACCAATACTCAGACTTTGATGTCCAAATGTCCTGAAAACAAACTAAGAGAAACTAGAAAAATCAAATCACAGGTACATTAACCAAAACCCAATATGAAATTAAAGAACCAAAAAGAGTAAGAAGCCCCAAGAAATATCAGAAACCACTGGATATAGGACACATAAACTCTGTAACGCATTTCTGCTCTGCTTAATACTATCGACCATAACTCAAACAAATTTACCTGTTCAGTGGTTGGGGTGCATCACAAGGTAGAAGAAAAGGAGGATCTTCAGGGCATATAAGAGGTGGAGCATTTGTGGGGTTAGGCTCCAGAGTAAAGCCCAAAGAGTCAAGCTTGTTATCATGTGAGATTCCAGTCTGAAGAAGAGTTTTATTGTCATCTCTAACCTTCTTTCCCTGAAGAAGGACACCAACACGAAGTCCGCCTCCAAGTACTGCAGTCACAGCCTCCATTACTGTCCTCTGGACAACAAATTACACACAACCATCATAAGACTTGAAGACTTTAACATCCACAGGAGAAAACAGTGATAGGGTGTTCCAAATTTTTTCATTTGGGGGTGCCAGGGATTAGGAGGGTTGGGAAGTCAGTATTTCAACTAAGCAAGACTCTCATAAGAGCAATCAAGGCATACCCTAAGGTTTGGACTGGCAAATTGAAAGAAGCACAATAGTATGCAGGGTAGAGGACAGAATGGAATGGGGCTCGCATTGTGAAATGCTCAAAAATTCAAGCATCCTTAGAAGGGAAATTTTTTGGAAACAACTAATGAACAGTAAATAGGATGAACTTGCTTTTCAATAACCAGGATTTTAACCATCGATGATTTAGTTTGAAGTGCATTTTCTTCTTAACCTTTGGACTGGAATATATAATTTCTCTATTTTATTCTGTTCTTCTAGTAGCAGGAACCAGAACTTGTTCATAGACATGTCAACACCAAAAGCATGCATATTAATGATATATTTTACCAAAAATGTGATAAGAAGCAGTGAAGATCACATACCTTCAATGAACCAATGGTTTCAGTTTCAGGGATCTCAATGAATAGCTCTGGAATCCGGAAGGACTTGATACTAAGCCTCACTGAGTAAAAGAAATTACAAATAACACATCTAAGATACCAGAATCAAATTAAGTCAAACAAGTAAAAAAGGCACTCTGAATCAAGCATTCTCCTACCATGAGAGTCTCTGGGTTGAAATGACACTTGTTGCCCTGCCACAGATGAAGCCCCACTTGCTGCACAAAACGACTAGTATTTTAAAAAACAAAAGAAAGAAAGAAAGAAACTGAGGGCAGGCATAAATCCTAAGACTAGGAAAAAATAGAAGGAAAATGAGGAGGCAGAAATAGATCTCCATGCAATGTCGCACCTGAGCCAGTTGTGACTCCATTGATTCCCTTTTCAGGTGTATTGAAAACACCTTCACTGCTAATTACTCCATCTGATGTTGATACTGAGCTTCGATCAAACAGCTTTCTCTTCTTGAAAGGAGAGTTCCTCTGAGATCTTTGGCGTGTATAGCAGGTTTTCCTATTGCAGGAAAAAGAGTTCATGTCCCCATCTGAAAACAAGAATCATATTGTTCACTTTGTCCCACATATGATCAAATTGAATAAATGCTTCATTGAATACATTCAAGTGAAACTTCAAATTAGTTTTCAACCAAATATAACTATCAAAAAATTCAGCACTTTACATTCATTAAGAAAAATCAGTGCTTACCATGGTTTGAAAGTTCACCGTCCTTCAACTTTGGAGCTACTTTCCAGTATTTGGATGCCAACAGCTTCCTTATTCTCCGATCTCCAATACGCCCTGCTGGTCTAAAGGCCTTGACATTTATGGTGCTAGGTTGAGTGCACCCAGAAGAGTTTTCATCATCATCTTTATTTACAATTTTGATATCATCCTGACATCTGGGGAAAGAAGCATGAGAGATACAGTTGCTATGTAAGGGTATTTCTACACTACTGTCTGAGCTGACTAACACACAAGGTTTCCTATCCAATTTCATTGGATCCCCTGAACTGCATGCATCAGGCACAGTTCCATTTACACCACTGCTGATCTTTTGTGCCTCAGGCACTCCATCTGTTCCATTTTCTACCTTGCCTCCAAAAGGTTCCTCATTGGCAGGGGAACCTTCCCCTTCTGTACTTCGTAACCTCCCAAACTCATTCCTTCTTTTTCCATTTAAAAAATCCTCACCACAACCAAACTTCTCTAAGCAGTCAGACTTTCTTATTATGGAAGAGTGCCCCAAACCAACAACATTCTGAACATGTGAATATTCCTTTGAAACATGTATTTGGTTGTGATCCTGAGACCTAAGCCCAGAAGCAAAGACACCCTCATTGCAGCTTCCCTGATCAAAAGGTTCTGATTTTAATATTTTCACTTCATCCTGATGTTCTTCTTTAACAATGTGTTTAACAATGGTAGTCCGATCATTCCCAGCCAATGCTTTAGCATGAATAGGTGAAGTTTCCTTCTCCTGTAGTAGCTTTCCAGCTACAGTAGCAAGTAATTCAAATGCACACATTGAATTGTCCTCAACCTTCTTCTTAACTGAACCCCTCCCCTAAAAGCATTAAGAATTAGGAGTCAAGAACAATATTTCAGAAAAGTGACAAAGTAGGATGAGTGATCAATCAATAAATGGTAGCACATATTTACCCTAGCTGATCTGGAAGCTCGAGGTACATGGTAGCCATTGAATCCGTAATCAAACCTTTTCTGCAACACCATATCTCAGAAATTCATACCAAATAAAGAACTCAACAAGCCCAAAGAACCAGATCCCTTAGGTCCATATCACTGTTTATGGATCTTAAAACAATCTCAAGTAGTCAATGCCATTCAACCAACCGCTTGAGCTCACAGATTCCAAGAATGAAACCCTGTCTATAAAAGAAAAGTATGAGAAATGACCCACTTTTACATTCTAAACTACTAGTTTCTAGTCCACTCAATAATAGAAAACAAATTCTCTAGGACATTAATAATGATGGATAGTGAATCTCACTTCAATGGCATAAGAAAGAAAAATCAGATAAATTGTGAAAGTAATTGAAGAAAAGGGGAAAATGATGCAATAGATGGAATTAAGGGGATAAACAGAGATTTGTAAATGTAGGTTTCAAATCCACTGCAAAAACAAACATTTTAAATACAGAAAAAAAAAAAAACTAGAATTAGTAAAAACCAGAAGCGTGAACAGAGGTAATAGCAATTTGCAGTTTCATTTAAAACTCAGGGTCAAGAGGGTGAAAGAAAATTGGTGAAAAGAAGGAACGAAAATCCATTCCTCAGGACCACCATATACCAGGATAACACGAGGGATCATTCAATCAGCATTACAACCTGTATGAAAAGAAGGCATTAAAAGTACAATTATATCAAGAGGAAATAATTAATTTCATTACTTGCACATAAGAAATTCTAGACCTTCAAAAATTGGAAATCCAATTCCAATGTTTCGGAAAGATCCTCACGATCTGAAGATAAAATAAATAGAAGCAGAAAATTTCAGAAAGGAGCCCAGTAGAAGAATGAGAAGACATTCAGTTGAAGTCCTATGTAAAGTAAGAAAGAAAATAAATATACCAAGACCATGTAATCCTTAAATTTCTTAGATATCGATATTACCATCTCAAGATAATAAGAGGAAATTCTTGTCTTGAGCCAAAAAAGAAAACTGTTCAAGGAAATTAAAAATGGAAATGGAAACTTGAGATTTCGAAGAAAAAAACCATAAAACTTAGACATAACAAAATAAAAGATTTTACATTTGAAGGCATACGAGGAACCTCAGCTTTAGTTTATCATTGAGTAAATTCCAGTGAATTGAATCTAAGACGTATCTTCATTACAATTTCTGTCAAGAGAGAGAAATAAGACGAAAGAAAAAGGAAAACGAAGAGCAACTGTAAAACCTGGATGGGAAAGATCGAATCAGTAAACTCTAGCGCTTGGAACAAAACGGAAATAAAAATAAAATGTATACCATTTGCGGAGGTTTCTGAACAACAATTCACACAGGAAAGAAAAAACAAAATTTCAGGACCTAAAACCCTAAAACAGCGATAAATTAAGACAAGGAAAAAACAATTAAGATTGGACAAAGATCGGATCCCATTAATTTCGTTGAAATTCATGGGAAAAATCGAACTTTTATGACATGAACCCGACAACAAGAGAAGAATGAGAGAAAAACTCAGATCAAATTCACCACATCCAGAATTCAGCACCGAAAAATAAATCTAGAACAAAATATTGGCGAATTCAGAGAAACCAAACCAGAAAAGCGTAATTGAACCAGAAAAAGACAAACGCCATCTAATCTACAAAATCCTGGACCAAAATACTCGAATTTCTCATCAAAGTAAGACACAAAGGAAAGGTGAAATCCGATCACACAAACCTGGTGACAAACGGCTTCGGGAAGGATTTATCAAGGTTTCTGTACAAAAATAAAAAGAAACCGCCGCTTAAAAAATTGAAATTCCGGCGAATTACGTCAGGATTCCGTGTGGTGTAAGATCGAGCAATTGCGGGATAATTTCAACTCAAGAGATCTCAACGAATTGTAATTGGCATGACGCAAACTTTTTGTTTAATCATTTCATCTCTGAGAATATAAATATATGCATGTATCTAAATCGGATGCTACCTTGCCTTCTCTGTTTTTTTTTTTTTTTATCTGATCGCCAAAACCCTCTGAAAACCGCCCTCCATGGCTTAAACCCCAACTCTTATACCATGGACCCCCTATAACCGACTAAGCCGGTAAAAGCACAGTGTTTTCCCGGCTAGAGGCGGTGACAGAAACCACTTGGACCAGTTCCTCATTTCGGCTTCGGCTGATCCACATCCTTCCTACTCGATTAGATAATCGCCAGGTGGGAGTCTCTGCTATCGTACGGGTGGTCTAATACAATTCGCACGACCTTTGCTTCGAAATTTACGTTGGGCTTCTGGAGGAGGGAAATTCAGAAACTTGGGCGATAGTTTCGGGGAACATTATTTTATTTTTATTTCTAAATATAGGAACTTTGTTATTACTAGAGACTAGAGAGAGATTCTATGATTTCACCTCTCTGTCCCTACATCATAAATAATAATGGTTTTCTTTTTTTTTTTTGCATAAACTAAATTTTGTTATTTTCTGAGTCATTTTTTTTATTTTCTCATCCTTTTTAATGTCTACCAGAAAAAAAAAATTAGTTTTACAGACTTGAGTTCCGGGAGAAAATTCGAGTAATAAAACATTTTTATAACAGAGAAGAGAGAAAGGATAGTGTATTTACTAGTATAGCAGTGATTGATTTTGAGATGTTCACTCAACAACTGATTTCGATGGTTTAGACATTAGAAGGTTATTTGTCATTTTGGGACAAATTAGACAAGGTATTTGCCTATTTGGGTCTTGTCCAAAAGCATGCAAGCGTCCAGTGTCCAGCTTTTCAGCGTATGTTAGATAGATTCGTGGCCGTCTGTTTGAATGGCCTGCCACGTAGGATATAGTTGAGTGTGAGTGAGCCGACGTGGAAGGGGAGCTCCGTCCGATTGGGTACTTTTTTCACGAATGTTATCTGGGATGAAAAAGAAGGGTTATTTTATATCCATAAAAAATGAGAAAATGTTTTTCTTTTTCAAAATTTAATTAATTACTTATTTATTTGTGAGAGATAAGAGTAGTGGCATCATAAACGCAAGCATCGTGGGCTGGATGTGACGGAGGATAGAGCATCGCTTTCGTTAACGTTGACGGTGTAGGTGAGAGTGAATAATGAGATGGCAAGAAAGGAGCCACGAGAAGATTTAACGTCGTTAAATCCATGGATAAGGGAAGCTGAAACTCATTTTTCAAATTATTATTGTGGTGAGAGTAGTGGGACCGGACCGGGTTTATGGAGTGACCGAATCGGCTTTACAGCCCGTTCGAATACTGTTTAAACAGCCTTTACAGCATTACATCAAGAGTATTTCCGTATTTCTATGTTTTATTTCATGAGAAGATATTCCTAATACAAGGGTATGATGGTTGTTTAACGGACTTTGCACCGACTGAATCCCATTTCGTCGAGGACACGACGCATACAGTTATCCTATCAAAACTCAAAATTTAAAAAGGTGCCAAATAGTTGACATCCGTCACGCGAGAAGAGCGGCTGGCCAAGAAATAAACTGTTCTGTTGAGTAAGGTAAAAGGCTGGCGCTCTTGCACTTTTTGTCATTGACTGTTAACACGTGTCGCCAGACCACAATGAGAGAAAAGAAGTTAATACTCATGTAAACTAATAGGGATGCATGTAGTAAAATATGTATCAGTGAAACGTGGCTCACCTGCAAATCTGAACCGTGCAATTAATTTGAAGATAAGCACTAGCGGTGCTGATCACGGCCAAAATGGTGTCGGTGGTCCATATCCCGATATCCGCTACGAGATGAGATGATAAAATAAAGGGAATAAATATTTAAGGCAGTGGTGGTGTGGGTTTACCAAATTGGGACCTAAAAAAGGTACCTGAGATTCAAACTACCAACTAACAAGTAACCACATTTGGGAAGTGTAATAATAATTATTATTATGAGGAAATAAATTTGGCCACCAAAATTTAAAAAAAAAAGTAATAAATAACATGTGGCTACTTGGTGAGATAGCTTCGCTTTGGCAAGCTACCACCGTACTACCGTTCCAAGAGGAGAGAGAGAGGGGGGAGTTTGGATAAGTTTAGTTTTGGAGAGAAGGGCAAAAGAGAAGAGAATGGAGGAAAAGGAGTGAAGGTATNAACGGAAAGGGTGAGAGATGCGAGTTTTGAGGTTACGGCAGAAATTCCTCTCCGATGAAAGAGGGGAGAAAAAGGTCAATAAATATATATGTAACGTCGTCCATTTTATTTATTGGTGATAAAAACCTGGGTTCCATACCTGCAGACTAGCTCTCTTATCCAAAAGAAAGAATTGCAGACTATCTCTATTCATACATATTTCCATTTCTTTTTACCAATACTCTGAATTTTTTTTTTTTTTTTGGGGGGGGGGGGAGGGGTTGAAGATTGGAACCCAGATTCTGGAGAAAATATTTTACCGAAAAAAAAAGATTCTGGAGAAAATATTATATAGAGAGGGTGGAGGGATTAAAGTCTACGGAACTGTAAAGAGAGAGAGAGAGAGGATTAAAAAGTTTTCTTGACGTATAAGGGACCTTGTAATTACAAGTCATCATCCAACCAGAAAGAAAGATGACTTGCAGCGGGAAGAGAAGGTTTCTATGCCGACGACCGACGACCAACTACCTTCCAGGGTGGAGGATGCGGGAGTGAGAGGTCCACCATTTTTACTACGTAATCTAATCTTGAATTTTATCTGCAGAGGTCCAACCATTTTTCGGATGGCATCGGCAGTCTCCCTCTATCTGAAATTAGGGAAATATTATAATTAAGTTTGTATAAAGAAAAACAAATAGCTTATTCCTGGATGCATGGACATATAATATATATATATATATATATATATATATATATATATATATATTATATTCTTCATTCATTACTACATATACATATACCGAATGGTCCCCCAGTCACCTCCCTCCCGCAAAAAGATAAATCTCTGGTCTGATGAATCTAACTAATAATAAATAATTATTAGTTATACAGCAGGGGGTGGATCTCCGATCCAAAAGGAAAATGCCCTCTTCCATTAACATTTAGTAGTAATTAAAATTCAAATACATGCAAGAACTAAGCTAGGTTGGTCCTTGTTCATTTCTTTGCTTGACTCAGGGCAGAGCATCTTCACCGACCACACCAAACCACATCACGTAGTGAAAAATCGAATGGCAGTGTAACATCATCATGAAATTGGATTTGGCTTTCAAGATGCTTCCTCCCTTCCTTGTCAATTCGATGGATGGATCGGATCGATCTATCTACGACAAGGAGAATAATTGAATAAATCCAATGCACCCCCTACTATTAGCTCTCTCCCCCCCCCTTATAAATCACATCTTATTCGTGAATTTAGCATAATCAGGATGCATTTCCCGTGTACTACGAGACTATAAAATTCTGATATAGGCTAATTGGTCATTTTCCCACTAAATAAATACAGTGTGCTTATTCTTTACCCAAACAAAAAAAAAAAATGTAACATAGAAGAAGGCACGTTTATAACTTGAATTGAAAGCAAACTACTGTGGAGTGAGTGTGCATATAAATAAAGGGAATCGGAACTCGGTTTGCCCTTTAACAGTGAACACCTACAGGCTACAGCTGAGCTGAGCGGCGCCATCCAAAGGAAAAAGGGGGGAATCGGAACTCTGTTTCTCTTCTCTCTCTCTCTTTTTATATTTGGAACCGGGGTTTCATAAAGCTCTTTAATTAGCAAAGCGCAGAATTACGCAGAGAAGTTGATTAAAACTGTATTTTGGAATATAATATTTGAAGGTAACAAGTGGACAATAATACGATCACGAGCGAGGCGAGAGAACTTAAGTTGATGAAAAAGAAAGAAACAACCATATGTATTAGTTTCTTTAATTGACGATGCGATGCGAAGAAGACAACAAGTAGGGGGCCACGTTACCTGTCAGGTTTATGGCCGGCACTCAGATGTAGATATGGATGGATGGATGTATAGTATAGTATAGTCCAACTTCAGCATTTGAATCAAGCAAGCCCTAAATCTGAACAATAGATCTAGCTATTCTTAGTTTTATTTGGGGACTGGGGAGTATGGTTTTTAAAACCAGCCCCAGGGTCCAGTTACCGTTTGACTCGAATGGTAAGCCTGTTCTGAAAAAAAGTAATAAAAAATTAAAAATTTTGAAAAATGATCAAAACAGTTTGAATGATTAATTGGCCGATTTAACGGTTTGTTGGCCAAAATCAAAAGTTTTGGAGAAAAAAAAAAACAATTTTGGGGAAAAACAAAATCTATCAAATGAACGATTTCCAGTTTTTCCAGTGCAACCGCCCGATTCGATCCAATTTTGAAAATCATGCTGGGGAGGAAGGAAAATAAACGGATCATAATACCAAAATGGTGGTCGCCTGGTGGTGAAGCCCAGGCAACTATGTCATTAAATATCAATGTAGTACTCTAAATAGGTATATGCCTAGGTAATAGGTAGATGGATAAAATAACCAACAGCTTCAACTTTCGACCACATGTGATTTGTCCATCTCTCTTCCTCTCTCTCAGCGTAGAGGATCATCATCTGTGAGCAGTCATGGGTGGCACATGATGAGTAGGAATTAAGTCTAGAAAAATGAAAGTTTGGAACGAACACATTAACAACATCGAATATTTAGGGTATATATATATATATAAATGCAGCTATGTAGCCTAGACATGTGGGTTGGGTTTTAGGCTGTATTTTTAATTTTTACTTATACCTTGAAAGAACATATTTGTATAAGATGAGGAATAGAGCCGAAGCCCAATTGCTTAGTCCCCAAAGTCAAATATCGTATCAATCTAATAATTGTGCTAGGATGAAGCCATTTGAACGTACTTCTAGCATTTTGAAAGTTGGAATTAGGGGTGTCAATGGATTGGTTTTGGATTGGATTCATTCAAATTAAAACCAATCTAAAAGGATTCGACGGAACTACAAGACATTGAATTAATTGGACGAATTCAGACTTAATGGTCCAAATTGTTTATTGAACTGGATTAGACTTGGTCCATCCGTAATAGGTCTATATTGGATT